AACTCAGTTTGATAAGAAGTTAATAGAAATGTGCTTGGCCGGTGCCGCAGCTCACTAGGCTAATCCTCTGCCTTGCGGCGCCGGCACACTGGGTTCTAATCCCGATCGGGGCGCCAGATTCTGTCCCGGTTGCCCCTCTTCCAGGCCAGCTCTCTGCTGTGGCCTGGGAGTGCAGTGGAGGATGGCCCAAGTGCTTGGGCCCTGCACCCCATGGGAGACCAGGATAAGCACCTGACTCCTGCCTTTGGATCAGCGCGGCCGCGGCGGCCATTGGAGGGTGAACCAGCGGCAAAGGAAGACCTTTCTCTCTATCTCTCTCACTGTCCACTCTGCCTGTCAAAAAAAAAAAAAAAAAGAAAAGAAAAAAGAAATGTGCTTAATGCCCATTAACACCTTCTGCACTGCTGTTCACACACACATAGCCTTCCTTCTGGGGAAATGATGATCTAGTCCTTTGCAGTAACTGTCTTAAGAACCACGCCATCATCACCATCCGGAGCTGGAGCAGATAGCGTGGCCAAGGTCTCCCTCCCCTGTATTGTGTAGGAAGCATCTCGGCCTAATAGAAGCAGAACAAGTAAAGATAATTTTACACTGCGGTTTTTATAAAGCCCCCATGATGCATTGAACAATGTTCACAATCTATGTACGGTTGGAAAAATTACCAACAAAAAAATTTTCAAATATGTCAGTGTTTTTAACAGTATCAAGAAAAAAGGAAGTTTTCCCCACTCTCACTATAGGATCCCAGGTCTTTGAACTTCAGTATAACCGTCACATAGGTGTTTTTTTTTCCCATTTGGTGCACAGAACACCTCTAGTGATAACGTTGGTGGGGGCATTTAATAATGAGGGAGGCCCTCAGCTTTCCTTAGCTCCACAGATTGAGTCATGGGGCTGGGGAGGTCTCCAGGCTCAGAGTCCCAGAACCCAGTTGTCTAGAACCTGACCCTGGGATCTGAATGTCTAGGGGAATAGAAATTTGAAGAGTTGCCTTTTATATCAAAAGAAACGAGGGACACTCGCCCTATGAGCACAAGAAAGACCAGAGTATTGGTTTCAGGATGCGTGAAATACTGCCCAGGGCCTCATAGAAAAGGTGCATTTAGTCATAAACATGCGTGTATCAAAAGAACAATATATTTACATCCAGTGAGGCCAGTCTGTACTTCATGACAGATATCGATCTTTGAACAAGGAGCTGTGTGTGTCGCTTTGCCAAATAGTACCCAAAATTAAAGGTAAGTTAGCTTCACTTTTCCCCACCAGAGTAGGTCTCCTCTGTATCGTTAGTTGCTTTATCAGGAATACCATGTAGTGCCCTCTTGGTGCTTATTAATCACCCTTCCTTCCCTTTCAGCCAGCTGTGAGAATAATTAGGTGAAATTGCTGCCAGACCCTCACTTTCACATTCATCTTCTTAAGCTGGTGTCAGAGGAACGTTCGGACTTGAATGGCCACTACGCAAGTGCTTCTCTTAAGCATGTGTTTTGGAGGCAAAGTTTTTTTTTTTTTTTTTTTTTTTTTTTAAGCAGTGCATTTGGAAGGCAGAACCCTTGTCTTACAAAGACAGAGGTGTACAAACCCCATCTGAAACCCAGTTGCTGTCATGGGTGAGAGGCAAAGATCTCTTCTTGGGGGAGCTGCTTCAGAGCCAGATGCAGTGTGTGCATATGTGTAAGCTTCGGAGACCAGGTGTCCCTCCAGGGCTGCTGGCCACTGCTCCATATTATCACTCAGTGGTCCAGACTGTTGGAGACTCTGGATGGTCAGTGGTCACAGGGATGCAGGGGGAGACAGGGTGATGTTGCTCCTAGCTTCTGCCCAAATGAGCTTAATCCGCCAAAGCAAATCTCTGTCAAAATGTAAAAATGGGCAGGGAAATGCCATCCTACTACATACCTGAAAATTTAAGTATATCCATCATGATTAAGTTAAAACAAAGTGTGTGGATCCATAATGAAGATGGAAAGCTGGTTCCTTGAAAAGTCCCATAGCATCAACCAAGTGTTAGGGTGTCTGGTCGCCAAGACAGCACAAAGGGTGGTGCAAATACAGTTCAGAGATTTGCAAAGGGAGAAAAGGATGCATGCATTTTTTTTTTTTGAAATGTGTCTGAAAACTTTGGACATTGTGGGTGATTTTCTAAGAAAATGGAAATAACGGAAATTGGCCCCAAGTGTTGATACATGAGTAAAAGATTTAAACAAAAAAAATTAAAGATCTTCTGGAAAAAAATACCCAATCCAGTACTTTATTTTTTTTAATTATTTTATTTATTTGAAAGACAAACTTACAGAGAGAGGTAGAGCAGAGAGAGAGGGGACTTCCATTCCACTGGTTCACTCCCCAAATGACCTCAATGGCCAGGGCTGAGCTGATCCGAAGCCAGGAGCCAGGAGCTTTTTCCAGGTCTCTCTCCCACATGGGTGCAGGGGCTCAAGGGCTTGGGGCAGCTTCTACTGCTCTCCCGAGCCATGGCAGAGAGCCAGATGGGAAGTGGAGCAGCCGGGTCTCAAACCCGCGTCCATATGGGATGCCGGCACTGCAGGTGGCGGCCTAACCCACTACTCCATAGGGCCAGCCCCTCCAGTTGCTTTTATGAGTAACTTCTATCACTGCCTGAGAAGCAGGCATTAGGTGCCCAACAGATACTTGTGGAATAAAATGGATGGACAAGACTAGCATGAAATTGACACTAAAATCAGTCAAGGATGTCACTCATTGTTCAGTACCACTTGTGAACATGATTTTAGCAATTCCAGAACAAATTAGCAGCAGAACTTAGCAGGGTGTAGAAAGAGTAAGTGCCTCTCCCCTCTGTCACCCCTCCTTCACGTCTTTGAGCTGATGCCACCTTCGGAAGGAGCTGTGCCTGGCTTGCTCTGTGTGACTTCACAGCCTCTCCCCAGTGACACTCCCGAGCCACCTCCTCCTGTTCTCTGCTTGCTCCCACAGCAAGTATCAGCTAATGCATCATGTAATTATTTATAATGTATTCTTCCCCTGCCACAAGGTAAATAACCTAAGAACAGGCCCTTTCTTCCTCTCCTCTCCTCTCCTCTCCTCTCCTCTCCTCTCCTCTCCTCTCCTCTCCTCTCCTCTCCTCTCCTCTCCTCTCCTCTCCTCTCCTCTCCTCTCCTCTCCTCTCCTCTCCTCTCCTCTCCTCTCCTCTCCTCTCCTCTCCTCTCCTCTCTTTTCTTTCTTTCCTTCCTTCTTTCCTTCTTTCTTTCCTTCCTCTTCTTCCTCCTCTTCCTTCCTCTTCTTCCTCTTCCTCTTCTCTTCTTCTCTTCTCATCTTCTTTCTGTAGACTGAGTACCTAGAACAGCTGGTACTTGGTAAATATTTGTTGCCAAAATAAATTGTTCCTGGCACAGAAAAGGACTTAGGTGGGAAGCTTGGGAAATTTGAATGAAGTCCGTAGGTTAGTTGTTACCGTCATGCTTAGGTTTGGTCAAGGCTAGGTAAGATGCCTTTCTCAGGGAAGCTGACTGGAGGGTACATGGGGACTCTCTGTATTTCCTTGCAACTCTTCTGTAAAGCTAAAATTATTTCAAAGGACAAGTTTACTGAAAATGGATGAGCTGAGCCAGGGAATTCCAAGATGCTTCGACGTTTACAAAGTAAGACAAAAGTTGTGTTCCAGCGGCCCCTTCTCAGCGAGTCTCACCCCAACCACCCAGCTTAACGCACAGCCCCATCACGGCCTGCCGCATCCCACTTCCCTGTTGTCCGCTCTTCTTTTTCGGTAGGGCCCTTGCTCCCTTCTAACACATCACACAATTTACTTATTCATTATGCTGCTGGCTGCTGCCTGTTTCCACAAAGACAGGAACTTTGTTTTTGTTCACTAGTGTGTGTCCTTCTGTGTGTAGAACAATGCCTGACACAGAAGAGCTATTAATTATTTCATGAGTTAATAGATGTGATATAATTATGTTAAAAATACAGGACAAACCATGGATTTCTCCCTGCCTCTCTCTCAGAGGATGAATAGGCAGAGGTCTGGATGGAGTCTCTGAAAGGTACACGTTGTTGCTAGGACGGGCTCCACATGAGCAGAGTGCATGGGGGATGGGGTGGCACCGGGACCAGACTGGTCCAAACCTGCTTGCAGAAGAACCTGCATCCAGTGAGCACTCGCTGGGAGCCGAGGGAGCCTCCCACATTGTGAATCCCTTGCATCTCGATCGCTTCACGCTGGTCCCACACCCTTAAGGACCTTTTCTTTCTTTGTCTAAACTATGCTGTTTTATAGTCTCAGTGATAAGCTCTGTCGTGTTTTTAATTCAGAAACATTCAGAGGAATGAAAAGGGGAGCAAAAGGAAAGTGAGCTCTTTTTGAGACCCATTAAAAATTACTACTAATTGTCCGCAGGATGAAAAATTAGGACAAGGATGGCTCATTTCTCGCCTTCTGCCTGGGAACTCAGTTACTCTTTTCTCCCTGAGGTTAAGTGTGAGGAAAACAGAGCCCAGTCTGTTTGGTTCCAAATGGAGTTTATTGCACTGAATCAGTGATACGACAATGCATACTGGATATGAACCATACAGGTGCAAGACTAAAGTGGGAAAATCTCAGCTCCAGGATGGTCTTGAAGGTGCAGATCTATTTCCTTGTTGGACAGATTTTTTTCTCTTGGGAGCTCAAGCCCATCTTTGCACCTCCTAACTTTCACACACTTGCTTTCTGGCCATGGCTTTGTCACCTGTGTAAAGCAGGCAGGACAGTGTGGCTGCCCCTCAGCTTATGAGCAGGGGACTGCCTGCCTTCGCACTGGTACCTAAATGGTTTACTCTGCTCCCAGCTCGTCGTAGCTCACCTGTGGGGGACGGCTAACCCAGAAGGGTCTGCCTCATTCAACTGCACAAAGGTAACTATTTAACCTTCGTAAAACTTTTTTTAAAAAATGAAGGGATGGAGATTATTTGCTCATTGTCTTTAGGATGACATGATGGCATTTCTGTGTGGTCATGGTAGGAATTTTGGTCTCTTGCAGGAACATCAGGAGAGCATTCTGGGGAACGCTATGCAGAGTGTGATTGCTTTGCTCAACAACCTGGTAGCCTGCAAAGATTCAAATATGAAACTACTTTATGAACAAGGTAAGGGCATCTTGGAATTGGTCTCTGATTCTGTTGAGTGTGGTCTCTTTGTAGCTTTCCTCATCTGACATGGCCGGGAGTCTGAAAGTTACAGTGAAGTCGATGAGTCAAAATAGATGTTTAAAAATAATAGTATCCCTGTCGAAATGGAATTGGGGTTAGGTTGAGATTTTTTAACCTCCTAACTTCAATCTCTTTGATGGCACAAAGTCAGGTGCTACTTCAAGGTTATTAACCAGGAAACAGAATTATAAGCGAAAGGTGTAGACTTATCATTGCCCATAAAAATAATAACAGAAATGCTCAGAGGTACCTTGGAGGATGAAGCTGGTTGAGGTGAGAGTGGCTTCGCTTTCCATCTTAGGTGTATCTACACTGTTAGACTTCTTAGAATCTCATGCATGTTCTACTTTTTTACTAAACTATTCATTGCAATTCAGAAAAATAAGACAAAGAGAAGAGCTCACCAAGTAAAATTATCAAGTCACCATTAAGATATTTCCTCCCAAGCTTTTAGAGCTCTACTTCTGTGTGGTCATTATGCTTAAATGTTGGTGTATTTTTTTCCCCTCCTCTAAGAAAAATACGCACTTAGTTCCAACAATAAATCCTGCCGGCAACCGTGGGGCTTTGAAACAGATCTCAGTTCTGTTACACGGCAGTGCCCTGTTGTTGTGTGGTTACAGGAGGATGTGTTTAACCAGTGCTGTGATGGTGGACGAAGGCCATCTCCAGCGCTTGGCCGTAACAGTGTCTGCAGTGGAAAACCTCACACTGTGTCCTTCCACGTAAGGGCAGGACTGTACTGGACACAGGGTAAGATTCTGAGATGGGCATCCTTTGGTGTATCTGTAGTTTCTGTGGATACTAAAGAATCGTTCTGAGTACAGTGCAGATGTACACTTCTCAGCCATGTCAGCGTGTTATGGTTTGCTTTGTCCAGGACATCTTTGTGCCTCTTGGAGACTTTTTATATTTCTCTATTGGACTTGTACATTTCTTATGTTTATCTCTTCCTCACTATTTTGTCTCTTTGGCTTGTTATTAGACATGAGGCTTTTTTTTTTTTTGTAATCATATCTTCAAGTTTTTTTTTTTTTTAAAGTGATAGTTTTTGACTTCTGCTTATTGGATGTTGCACCTAATTCTTTTTATTTTCTGTTCTTTTTGGTTGTAGTTCTTAGATAGTTCTCCTACTAGAGAGTTCTCCTAGTTTTTAATTATATAACTGTAATAATGATAATATTAATACTGACAATCTTTCCCCCTGTTTCTATAGTGTTTTCTCCTCATCTCTGGTTGCAGTGTTCAGTGAGAATGGGGTACAAAATATGGTTTTGCTTCAGAATCTTTTGTTTTCTATTTCAGGAGGTACCCATCTACTTTTCTTTGTTTTAACCAAGAATAAACAATGACTTCTCTGAAAAGCTTCTTTGGTCTCGGTGGAAATGATGAAATGATCTTCCTTGAATCTGCTCATGGAGTGAATCATGTTAACATATTGCCTAATGCTGCATCCGTTCTAGCGTTTGAGCCAGAAACTGCAGTTAATTGTGATAGATTGTTCTTGGTGCAACTTAGGTTCTTTGCTAATCTTTTCTCAGAATCTGCCATTGCCATTCATAAGTATGATTGGTCTGTAGTTGAGATTGATGTGGTAATACATTCTTCTCCATATTTTGTGTTGATGACATTAATTTATTTTTAAGAAAAACATTTCCTCTTTCTGGAACAGTTGAAGTGTTAAGGGCCCCTGGCACGCTAGCTGCAGCAGCTTCAGGGCGAATCCACCTGTGCTCCAACTCTGATGGTCATGAAGACTGGACTCCAGGACCCCCTGGCTCACCTTAGAGACAGATAGCCTTTGATGTCTGACCTGCCAGTGCCAGAGGCTCCTTTCTTCTAGGGTTTTGTCCTCCATCCCACCTCAGTTATGCAGTCTCGTGCCTCCATGGGCCAGGAGCTACAAAGCTCTGCAAACTCAGTTCCAGGCACCTGCCTTGCCCTTTGCTTTGTCAGCAGCCAGTGGGGCTCCTGAGAGTCCAAAGGACTTACTCTGCGGTGACTCTGATTCTCAGAGTTGGAGAGAATATTTTGAAAGGATTCAGGAGTGGGCTTTTTATTTATTGGAATTAATGAACTATGATTTATAGGAAGCTTTAATCAAAGTCTTAATGGCATTGTATCATAAAGAGCTCTACGAACTTGAACTAAAATAGGGTTTGGAGACTTGGGAAGTCCCATTCCTAGTGCATTGCCTTAACTTGACCTATTTCATGCCTCCCTGGAATGACATTCTCCGTATCTGCCTTGACTTGGAGTTCATCTGAGAGAAAATGCCTGCACCCATGGCATTGGCAAGAAATAATAATTGACATTTTGTTAACATCGCAGCTGCCTGAGTCTGAGATACCAGGTAGAGTGACCAAGAGTGTCTCAGAAACTTAAAGATCCAAGGAATGAAATATCTGTAGGAGACTTTGAAACACTCTGACGTGTTCCTGGGAATCTAGAAAGCTGTGTGCCTTCATCAGGCTGTGCATGTGTTGTGTCCAGTAAAGACTGAAATGGCCCACTGTGTTCTCCTCTGGCTGGTGTTAAGACTCTGCACAGAACCACAAACTGGGATGCAGGCATGCCCCACACAACGCACAGGTGCTTGGCAGTGAGTGTAGCACATCCTGCTTTCAACATTCAAGGACGTCTCTGGCTAGTCATCAGCTGGCTATTGAGCTAAATGAACAGAAATTTCTGTGGCCAAGACACTATATGGAATGTGAACTTTGTAGAATTCACACAAATAACACAAAATAGTTACCTAACAAACAACAATAATTTAGCAACAAAACTACTGTCGTAGGAAAGGCTGATATTTAGCGTTGACACATTATGTCATCCAAGACGTCCAGTTTTCAACAAAAAATTTCAAAGCCCAAACAGAAACAGGAAAATATGATGCCTACATAGGAAAAATATCAGTAAAACTCTTTCTGTGGAACCCATAATTTGGACATATGAAGGATAGATTTTAAACCAGCTATTATCAATATGTGTAAAGGACTACAGGATACAATATGTAAATAATTAAAGGGAAGTACGAACTTGATGTCTCATCAAATAGACAACATAAGTAGAGAGAAATTACTTTTTTAAAAAAGAGAGCCAAATGGGATTTCTGGAGTTGAGCAGCACTATAACTGCAATGAAAATTTACTAATGGGACTCAACAGATCTGAGGTGGCAGAAAAATGAATCAGCAAGTTTACAGATAGATGATCACTACTGATCATTCAGACATCGTAAGGATTATAAGGGCAAATAAGCAACCGTATTCCAATTAATTAGATAGCTTAGCTGAAATTTCTAGAAAGACACATGAATACCACTGACTGGGGAAGGGACAGAACGTGTGAATGGACTGGCTCTGCAATTAAAGGCGTCCCATGGAGAGTGTGAGTCTAGACAGGCACGATGAATGAACACACGTGCTAGCCCAGGAAGGCACCTTAGGAGACTGAGCAGTGCTGCGTATTCTCCAGCCCCTCGTGGTTCCTGCCCACATCCTAAATGCGGTTCAGAGCCCTCGTATTCCTCAACGTCTCATCTCCAGACAGAATCAGTTTCGGGCTTCAGGACAAGGATCCCGTCATCTAAGTCAATTCTAGGGAGACGCGTGTACTGTGCCTTCACCCTGGAGAGCCTGCGCACTAAGGATCCATGTTCCCGTGCAGAGAGGACCGCTGTGCCCACTGTCATTGGAAAAGGAGGAAAACAGAAGGCGTCGAGCAGTGCTCTGATCAGAACAGTGCTGAAATCTTGGTGGGCACAGCTCCTTACTTCTCTTTGCTTGATCTGGACAAAATTCTACTCCCTGGGAATCCTTCTCTGTGGCTCTTGGTGCATTTCGTTCATTCTTCCTTTTCTTCCAGAATAATTTATATTTGTAGCTAGAATTTTTTTTTCTCTTTTTCTTTTTCTTTCTTTTTTTTTTTTTTTTTTGACAGGCAGAGTGGATAGTGAGAGAGAGAGACAGAGAGAAAGGTCTTCCTCTGCCGTTGGTTCACCCTCCAATGGCCACCACGGCTGGCGCGGCTGCGGCTAGCGCACCGCACTGATCCAATGGCAGGAGCCAGGTGCTTCTCCTGGTCTCCCATGGGGTGCAGGGCCCAAGCACCTGGGCCATCCTCCACTGCACTCCCGGGCCACAGCAGAGAGCTGGCCTGGAAGAGGGGCAACCAGGACAGAATCCGGCGCCCCGACCAGGACAAGAACCTGGTGTGCCAGCGCCGCTAGGTGGAAGATTAGCCTAGTGAGCCGCAGCGCCAGCCAGAATTTTTTTTTTCAACCTGATGGCTCTCCACACAAGTTGGGGGAGCTTTGAGACCTCCTGAGATTTGTCCTTACCCTTTTTATTCCAAGCTGGTGGTGCTCCTGATACCAGTCTGTTAAAAACTACGTCAATTTCCTATGCATCAAAATTATGTTCACTCTAGTAAACAAAAGCTCCACCCATGAGTCCTTTTAAAACAGTCTCCCTGACCTTGCCTGAGAATCAGAACGTGGTGGAACAATGCCCCTGAGATTGTTAGTGTCCCTGTCGGCTCGCCTACACAGGGAGCGCGACCCTGACAATGAGACTGTGGAACCCTTTAGCTACTGGCTCCACAAGGAAGAAGATGTGTGATGGCCCAAAGTGCTAGAAGACAGGCGCTTAGGGGACTTGAAAGTCAGGCGTGGGTGGATCGTCTGTGAGGTGATCCCGGTGGACCCTGGGATTTTGTGTTCAGAGGTTTCTTAGAGTCGGAGCACAGGTGGATTTTCCCTGAAGCTGACGAAGCTGACAGGGCAGGGGCCCTGATTTGCGCACGGATGGTTGTGTATTCATGATTTTGTTTTCTTCTTCCTCTGGTTCCTTCCTGGTCCCCGGTTGTATATGCTTCGGTTCTCTCAAAACCTGGGTGGATCCGCGTCAGGTTTTGTGGGGTACAGTGGAAAGCACA